GGGGGGGAGTCCCCGTCCCTGGAGGGGTTTGAGCAGAGCCTGGATGTGGCATCAGTGCCATGGTGGGGGGGACAAGGTGGGGTTGGGTCAAGGGTTGGACTAAATTATCTTAGAGGTCTTTTCCAACCCAATTGATTCCATGATTGTGATTCTCTTGCATTTCACCTCATTGGCATTTCACAGCAGCTTCTGCAGAGAGAGGAGCCTCACTCTGGGCATCAATGCCATGTGCTCTTTCTAAATGGCCCCATTAAAGTGGATGGTTGCTCATCTCAAAAGCAAGAACAAATCACACCTAAGCCATGTTTTGCTGTATTTGTAACCCATTATTCAATATTAACAATCCTATTATGCATCTCCAGTGACTGGTTTTAATGGAGAATTTGCAGGTCTTCTATGAGTTGCTCTGGTGAAATGAGCTTTTCCTCCTTGTCTTTCCCCAGGGTAACAGAGATGAGGGAACATTTGTGGATGAGGCCCTTGCTCAACAGGATGCTCAGGTGTGTAGCAATGTGCTGCCTTGCAGGAGCACAGGGTTTGTCTGTGTGAGCCAGGGGGAAGCTCTGCTTTTTCGGGACCTCAGTTTTTTTGAAGGGAGATGAGTAAGCCTGAAGCTGTGCTGGACAGCAGCCCCAGGTGGAGACTAGATGGGATATTAGGAAAAATGGGTTGTCCATCCTGTGGGGATTTAACAGCCATGTGCATGTGGCACTTGGGGACGTGGGTCAGTGGTGGCCTTGGCAGTGCTGGGGGAATGGTTGGACTCAGTGATCTCACAGGGCCTTTCCAACCCAATGATTCCATGGAGTAAAAATCACCTTATGTACCCGTGGTCTTCTCAATTAGCCTCATTTTGTCTGTTCCTAATGTCTTCAAGAGCCTGTATGAAGCTGGGGAGAAGAGATGGGGAACAGATGAGGTGCAGTTCATGTCCATCCTCTGCACACGGAACAGGTGCCACCTGCTGAGAGGTAGGACCCCTGTGATGTCCTGGACTCTGTGCCTTGTGTGAGGACAGTACTTTTGTAGGAACTTTGTACTTGTTCAGTAACTGATTGTGAGCCTTTCCTAAAATGACAGGTATCATCAGGGCCAATTCCATTCAATTCTTTTAGACTGCTTTAGTCCCTCCTGAGACAAAGAGGGAGTTGAGAAAAACATACCTGCAACTTGCTCCAACCTGTAAATTTGAGATAATGAAGAGTGACTCCCATGGGGCAGAGCCAGGCATGGACACTGCCTTCATTAACTAGAAAAGCCTTGCAGCAGTGCTGGGGCAATTAGCAAGACAGCTGCTAATTAAAATGAATTATTTCTGAGGGGCAGCCCTGATTTAACGTACAATGTCACGATAATGGTGCAATGTTCACACAGAGCATGAGGAGCTTGATCTTGCAAAGTGATCCCTGGGGTTTACACTCTGTGCCCTGCAGCAGCTCACTGGCTCTTTTTACCCCCGACTCTCCCCTAGTTTTTGATGTGTACAGAGGGATTGCTAATAAGGACATCACAGAGAGCATCAAATCCGAGATGTCAGGAGACCTCGAGGATGCTTTGTTAGCTGTGGGTGAGTTCCCTGCTTTTAAACTCTGTCTACAAACTGATTAAATAATTAAAGAGCCTGCCTCTTGCCCTGGCTGTTTACACAGCTTCAGGAGGCAGATACTGTGTCTTTTTTGCAAGCCACATCTTTTAATCTTTGCAGATAAAACCTGGGGAGAAAGCTCTGTGCTTTACATTTCTTTCCCAAAGGATGCTTTGGGAGCTGACATTTGCTGTCAGGAAGCTTTAAAGCCTTAAAAATATTTTATTACTGCGCACTGGGCATGGAGACATCAAGTGACAGCAGGTCACTGACTCTGGATGTCTGTGCTGTGCTTGCTGACTTGCATCTTTACAGAATAAACACCTGCACTGAGAAAATGCTGGAAGGGTTTGGAAGACCTTGTCCTTCAGTGTTTATTTGCCTTACTTCTCTTGTTCTTGTCTCCCTTCCAGTGAAGTGCGTGCGGAATAAACCTGCGTATTTTGCTGAAAGATTGTACAAATCCATGAAGGTAAAGAGCTTTTGCTGGGAGATTGGTATTTTTCCCCCTGCCTTTCCATGCTTGAATCAGTAGCACGACAGCAATCATTAAAGAAAGAGAAACTTTGTGTTAACTGGGGGGGGGGGAAGAAGTCTGAGCTTTTCTATGGACCTCCTTTCCCTCAGGAAGCCCAGAGCTCGTAGTGGATCACTGCCTTAATCCCAAAATGCTCTAATTAGGAACAGATCCTGCAGAAAGCCAAGTGATCAAACCTTTGTGCCTGTCAGTGCCCTGCCCCAGGCGCTTTGCAGCTGCAGTGTGGTTGTTTTTCAGGGCCTGGGCACAGATGACAGCACCCTGATCCGGGTGATGGTGTCCCGCTCCGAGGTGGACATGCTCCACATCCGCAGGGAGTTCCTGGCCATGTACGGGAAATCCCTCCACTCCTTCATCAAGGTGAGCCCTGCAGTGTTAGAAACACAGGAGACAGGTCCCCTCTCAGCACCTCTGGGGTGTTTTAGAGGGAGTGGAATTAAGGAGACTTTACATTTAGGTACTGAAAACGTCCCTGAATGTTCTTGGTTATTAAATTGTCGAAGAGGATTCAAGCCCTGTGACAAATCGTGTGTGCTGGAAGGAGTCCAGCCTTGTATGGAGCTGTGAAATTAATTGTGTTCCTTTTTTTCTGCTCTCTCTAGGGAGATTGCTCAGGAGACTACAGGAAAGTTCTGCTCAGACTCTGTGGTGGGGAGGATTAAAGGAGGCCTAGGGGACTGTCTGGGTGATGGGAAGCAGCTGATCATAGAATTGTTTAGGTTGGCAAAGATCTTTAAGGTCATCCAGCCCAATAATTATTTCTTTCATGTAATTTTTTTCCCAAATATCTTATCAATTGCTCTGATTTTTGCCTTAGGTTAGTTCATGCTCTGGTTGATAATGGCCATTCTGGTTGACCATGGCCAATCTGCTTTTATGCTTGGCACACCCATTTGCCTACTCATTGGGCTGGTAAAGCCCAGCTTAAACAGAATGCTGTAACCAAAGATATAAAAGTTAAATTGTTTCCTGACCAGATGCCCCTTTGCTGTTGTGTTCACCAGCAACACTTGTAACTGAAGCAAACCTGGATGCAGAGTGTGAGAGGCTGCCCAGGGAAAATCTAACCCATCAGTACCTGGAGTGCAGAACACGGGCTTGCTTCAGTTTTTCGAGATAATTAGGACACAAAGAACCCAAATATCTAAAATACAAGCATGTTTACATCTTAACTGGCCCTCTGTTAGTGTGGAGCATTAACAGCCTGGCTGCAGGGTATGTATATGTTGCCAAGAGATCTGTTCATGGGGAAGATGTCACTGGTGACATCAGAAAAGCCTCTTGCTGCCCTGGTTAGAGCAGCCCCGTGTTCTTGGTCTGCCTTCTTCACTCATGGGAGTATAAATAATAATGGTTATGTTACAAACCCTCCTCTGGATAAAGTGATACCATTGGAATGGTGCCTTTTAGGGAATGACCTGTCCCCAAAATCCCACCTCATGGCCTGGTGCTGGGGCAGCTCCTCAGACCTCCCTGGGGCAGCTCTGTCCAAATCTCCCTGAGGCTGCTCCCCAGATGTCCCAGGGGCAGCTCCCCAGTGTCCCTGGGACATCCCCCCAGACTCCCCCACGTGCCAGCCCCATGTCACAGGATCATGGAGGTGTTTGTGCCTGGGTCTCTCCTGGGTTTCCACACCAACCTCTGACAAAGCTATTTTCCCCAGACCCTCCACACCTGCCTGTTCACCTGAGCTCTGTTTTACTACAAAGATGGGGTCTTTCTTTGGCTTAGCAACTTATTTTTTTCTGCTGGTGAATAATCCTGTTCTGAAGGATCAGACTGAGGCTGGAATGTCACAGCTGAAACACTGAGGTGGCTGCACCCAATTCCATCACTCATTTCTGAAATAGGCTGCTGCTGGCTGGAATAGGAGATGCCTCTGTGGCCTTCAATAAAATAATTTTCTTTCTCACTCCTTGGGCTGCCAGTGGAGACACATTCCTGACTTTTGCTGGGAGAGGAGGCAGAGCTTTATCCAGTTCTCCCAAGGCCTCTGCTCAGGACAGGGAAAGGTCTGTGCCCAGCACAGGGGCTGCCAGAGCTGCTCGGGCAGGGGGTGGGTTCCAGTGCCTTGTGTCAGGTTGCTGAGCTTTGAAAAACGAATAAAGAATTTGTTTCTGTACTTCCTGCCCTGGACTCCTGCGCTCCTCAGGTGCCTCTTTCCCTCCACAGGCCCCTGCAGGGCGGGGTGGGGGGCCCGGGGCACTGTCCCTTGGGTGGGGACGGTTTATAAACCCCCACTGGGGGATCCCCGGTGTGGGGGGTGGGTTTGAGGGGGCAGCCCAGCACCCCCAGCTCAGGCTGGTGCTCCTGCTGCTCCCCCTGGGAGCCCTCCTGCTTTGGGAGCACCACATCCCCTCCATGTGCTCCTCATGCAGGTCCATTCTCAACACACTGCCAATGATTTCACCCAATCAGCACGAGGAGAGGCTCAAATCTACCCTAATCATTTATACAGAATCTGCTCAGGGGATTTTAATGGTGACCCTTTTGCTTCTGCCTGTTCCAAAGTTCCCAGGGGAATCCACCCAGTGCTGGCAGCTGGATGTTTGGAGACGGGAGGCTCTGGACGTGGTGGCCCAGGGTCCCATCTGGATCACCAAACTGTTAAGGAAACTTCCCAGTCTGACTATTCCTGAGGCTCTCTGGCCATCACACTCCCAGCACCAGAGACTTCCACTGCCCAGGGCCTGATTTTACCCTTTGGAAGATGATGTATTTCCAAGGTCTCTACCGAAGTGCAGGAACGCAGAGAAGCTGCTGGAAGGTGACCTTGACAACTCTCTAAAAGAGGGTGATGTTGTCAGTGGAGCAGGTAGATGGTTCTCTGCAGTTCCATGGTGGGCACCCAGAGCTGTGGGAGTGGGAATAGCACAGAGGTTTTGGAAGTGCCAGCAGAGAAACGCCCTCGGTCTGTAGCGTGATCCCAGAGCAGCTGCAGGAGGTTCCTGTGTTCAGCTCACTGCCCCTGCTGATACCAGGTGACCTCCTGCTCTGGTTTCCACCCCCTTCCCACAGGAGGTCAGAAACCCCAGGATATCGATAGTGTTGCTCAGGGCCCGAGGATGAGACCGTAACCTCGGCACTCCAGGGGATGGCTCCCTGTTCTGTTGTTGCAGGAATAGGGACTGGACTTGCTGGAGCCCAAGAGGCCCCTGGTTTGCCCTGAAACGAGGGAGTTTAGTGAGAAGATGCAGACTTGAATACTTGCAAAATGTGGAATACATAAAAATTTTCTTAAGAAAGGATGGTCTTTGATGTTTGATCCTTGTACACATTCCAGCCTAATCAACAAGGGAGATTTAATCCATTAAACAGCAGCCAACAAACAAGCTCTAAGTGCTGTGCAGGTGTTAGAAAAACAAATTACTTGCTGGTAGGATTGCCTCGTTAAGGTTTAGGGCTGGACATGCTCCAGTGATCCTAGGCCAAGGGGGAGTCTAACTGAGCTTGGGAAGAAGGGTGTACCTCTGACAGTGGGCACAAGGAATGCAGAATTTACAGGCCACGGAGACATCTGGCAGGACTCCTAAGGTAAGGAAGAAGCTGATAAACCCAACTCATCAACTGGGCTGAAATCAGCTCCAGCTGCTCAAAGGTGATTCCAGCAGGAGCAGATCACAACCACCAAGCCAAGAAACCCCCCGACCCAAAGGAAGAGAAGGTCGGGCATGCAGACTAACTAGTGTGAGAAGCAAATCATTAACAAACAGAAGACAGAATACTAATTAATAAGAAAACTATGTAACTGGGAGCCAATGAACACTAGTTCCTTTGTTTGCTAAAATGTATAAATAATAAAGTTTCAATAGTTGGTGTGCTTGATTTGTGGAACTCCAGTGATCACCCAGGCTTGTGCAGCTCTGACATGAATAAATGTCCCTCTTGAGTGTGTCATTCCTGGAGTGCTGCAAAGGCGGTGAAGAATCCCATTCTTTGCAGACACGGGGATCCCGCAGTGCTCTGAGCTCTGGCAGCTGCAGACACGCAGTGCTGGGGCATTGCAGGGCTGAACAAACCCACACAGTGGGAAGGGTCTGATCCCTGGAAAACCCCCCAGGATGGGCCATTCACGGAGCAGGAAAA